GGGGGGGGGGGGGGGGGGTTCAATAAAGTTTAGAGGGGGGAGGAGGGAAGAAGACATCATGGCCCAGACAAGGTACGAAAGAGAGCAGAGGGGCGCTTGATTCGAGAGGAAACATGTTATTATGATACTAATAGCAAACAACACCTTGTCTGATCCCGTCCCTGGGTGCCTCGGTCGATATTCCGCGCGATACTCTTTTTCTCCTTATTGTATAGTGCGGCGTAATGAACAACACACCACGAGATTCTAAAAAACAGGGGTAAAACAAACGCAACAAAAACAGTGATACGGGCCGCTAACTACAGCTCTAACATGGAGTATAGCATGCGCCACCACTCAGACAAGAACGTGGCGAGTGCGACAATTGAATCAGGCTCAAAACAACAAGAAAAACTCAAGAAGCTGGTTGCAAGAACAGGCGTACTCAGCCAAGACGCCTGCACAAAATCCTAGATAATTTGGTCGATGGTAGGAAACTATTAATAATGTTGGGGGACAAAACACGAGGTACTTTACTTGCCAAGCGGTGATGCGCGTGCAAATACCCCGGGAGGACACACCCAACACAACCACCAACAACAAAGCAAGAGAGGGTCACGACACAAACTACTACACGCACCCCATTCACGAAAGCACCGGACGGGAAAAGACACAGCGGCCAACCAAATCCGCCGTGATCTATGTAGATACCTCCCCGTGTGCGTCACATCCCCCTCCGAGGACGTTACAACGTACAGAAGTATGCATACAAAAACAAAACTCCCGTCTTCGTGACCACAGTAGTCGCATTTCATGTGAATTTCATGCCAACACCTTCCGGCGCCCCGAGTGGGAATCCCGATCCTAAAGATGAGCTTTTCCCCCGGGAAACTTGAAAACCCGTGTGTTTTCTCTCTTGGACTACTACTGTACACTGCTGTTTGCACACCTTGGTCAACACGCGTCTTGGAGTGGGATCCAAACTTTCGACATGAGTTTTTTTCCGGTACTGAGGCAACCTGGTGGTTGGTTCCTTTCGGGCTACATACTGCTGTACTGCCGTATGGTACTGCTGTGCGTACCTTGGTCGATATCCCTCTGGCTGCGGCACTTGACCATCACGTACCCGAGCTTGAGCGGCTTGCGGACGTTCTTGAGGACCGCCGCCGCCTCGTCTTCGTTGCCGGGACCGATGAGGTCGGGTTTGGTTAGGACCCCGATCGTTCGGTCACCCTCGGGGTCCACCTGCACACACACACGTGGGAGGCGTTTTCTTGATCTTGTTGCTGTTGCTGTTGCTGTTGCTGTTGATGCTGTTGTTGTTGTCAATGGGTGTCGTTCATGTTGTTGGGTGTCTTGGCAAGCTAGAAAACCCCGTGCTGATACAACACTTCCAGGAATCCTTCTGATCCGTACCAGCGCAATCAGAAAAACAACGGCTTCTTCCGTGATTACATGCGTGACCGACA